CCCCCCCCCACCCTTTAACCAGAAGAGCCCCCAGTCTAGGCTGTCCGCATAGCGGCATTCACCACAATAAAGCACTATCGCAAACTGGCATCCACTTCAGCACAGCTCAACAGTAAACAACTCTACAATCACCAAAGCACAGCTATTATTGGTGGTGTCTGAGATGCTCTTTGCAGACGAAAGACAGTGAAGCACTAAGAGCTGTCAGAATGCCATTTGAATGCTGGGTAACTTAAGGTGAATAACCTCATCTATAAAATGGGGATGGTAAGTCAGTGGGCAGTTCTCTGTTCTCATTTTGCTTGGAATCTTAACAGCCATTTGCCACAGGCTGACCAAGTCTTTCTGGAAACATCTTCTCTCAGCCTCTAAGATAAACACAGGCTGTTCCCCCCCACCTCACAGACTACTCCTCCTCCACCTTCTCTGCTGGCTTGCTTCTGTGACCTTCAAAAGCTGCTCTAAGAACCTATCTTTGGTCCTCTTCTATATGTACTTTCTCCTTAGGCCATGTCATGGGATAAATTGTGTCCCTCCTAAATCCTAACCACCCCCCCATACCTTAGTATGTGACTGTATTTGGAAATAAGGTCTTTAAAGAGGTAATCAAATTAAAATGATGTCATTAGAGTGGGCCCTAATCCAACAAGATCAATGTCCTTATAAATTAAAAAAATATATTTTTTTTAATGTTTATTTATTTTTGAGACAGAGAGACAGACAGAGTAGGGGAGGGGCAGAGAGAGAGGGAGACACAGAATCTGAAACAGGCTCCAGGCTCTGAGCTGTCAGCACAGAGCCCGACACAGGACTTGAACTCACAAACCGTGAGATCATGACCTGAGCTGAAGTCAGTCGCCTAACCGTCTGAGCCACCCAGGCACCCCTGATCAGTGTCCTTACAAAAAGAGGAGATTAGGAGACAGACACACACAGACAGAAGACCATGTGAAGAAGACACAGGCATCTACAAGCCAAGGAGGGAGGCCCCATAAGAAACCAATCCCACCAACACCTTGATCTTGAACTCCCAGCCTGCAGAACTGTAAGAAAATAAATTTCTGTTGTCTGAGCACCCAGTCTGTGATACTCTGTCATGGCAGCCTTATCATACTAATACAGTTCACCTCCACCGATGGGCAGAGTAACAGGTAGAGTGAGTCTGACAACATTCAAACTTCCACCTACAGCCCAGATCTCTCCCCTGAGCCCCAGCTACGTATGTCCAAATGCCTTTTCTGATATCTCGACTTAGAAATCTGACAGGGATCTCAAACTTCGCACGCCCCAAACAGAATTATAGCTCGATCTATCTGTAACCCGCCTGACCCCCCACAACCTCCAAGATCTGTTCATCTCAGTAAATGGCACAGCTACCCTTCCAGTCAGGCGAACCAAAAACTTCTTTCCCTTTCATTCCATACCCAATCCATGAGTAATTCCTGTCATAACCACCTCAGAAATACAAGTTAAATGTGACCATTTCTCTCAATTCCCACTTCAACCATCCTAGTCAAAGTTCTCAAAATCTCCTCTAGACTGTTGGAATAATATTCTTTTAGCCAGGGCCCTGCCTTCTCCATTCCTGCCTATCTCTCCATAAAGGAGCCAAAATGAGCTTTGAATATCCTAAATCAGGTCACATCCCTTTCTGTTTTAAATCTGTATTTACCTTCATAACAAAAATAAAATCCCAACTTCTTGTTATGACCTATGGCTAGTCTTGTTACCACATCCCCTGTTCCAGCCATGTTGGCCTTCTTTCTTTCCTTAAACCAATCTTGCTCCAATATCAGAGCCTGTGACTTTTCTATGCCCGCAACTTGAAACTTTCTTTTCCCAGATCTCCAGTGTTAGTGGAAAGATCACCTTTTCTCAGAGACATTCTGTGGCATTCCAGCTAAAGTGTCACCCCAGGTCATTCTCTACCATGTTACCTGATCACAGCACTTTTCTATCTGAAACGGTTACCTGTTGACATGTTTCATGTCTACCCCCGCTCACCAGAGTAAGCTCCAGGAGGGTGGTAACTCTTTCTGGTCTCCTGCTTTCCCCCAGCACTTACGACAGTGCCTGGCACATTTGTGGACTGGCTGTCACTTTCTTCATTCTAGTCATAGTCAAGAAGGGACAGAGAAAACCCATTCATGACTTATTCTCCTGCTGCCTCCAGGTACAAATTTTGGAAAAAACTTATGAGGCAGGAAGGTTAGCTCAAACAAGGATGCTGAATGAAGAAAGTAAGCTGGATTTGAGAAAACAGCAAACTAGCAGGCCTTGGTAAAACCCAAATAATGCATAGAGGATACAGGAGATAAGGCTGACAACATAGACGGGGGAAGGAAGACAGGAACCTTCTCTGCTCATACCTAAACACACCCCAAAAAAACTGTCTTCCCTTTCTGAGCATGACCTTTTTCCCTAGCTTCAGACCCTTCCACACTTTTGCTCCTGAGACCCAATTCTTACATGACTCTTAGCTGGATAAGATCTGAGCTTATTAGAAAAGCTACCCCTAGGGGCGCCTGGGTGGCGCAGTAGGTTGAGCGTCCGACTTCAGCCAGGTCACGATCTCGCAGTCCGTGAGTTCGAGCCCCGCGTCGGGCTCTGGGCTGATGGCTCAGAGCCTGGAGCCTGTTTCCGATTCTGTGTCTCCCTCTCTCTCTGCCCCTCCCCCGTTCATGCTCTGTCTCTCTCTGTCCCAAAAATAAATAAACGTTGAAAAAAAAAAAAAAAAAAAAAAGAGGTTAGAGTGGGAGAGAGCCAAAGCATAAGAGACTCTTAAAAACTGGGAACAAACTGAGGGTTGATGGGGGGTGGGAGGGAGGGGAGGGTGGGTGATGGGTATTGAGGAGGGCACCTTTTGGGATGAGCACTGGGTGTTGTATGGAAACCAATTTGACAATAAATTTCATATACTGAAAAAAAAATTCATAAAATAAAATAAAAAAGAAAAAAAAAAGAAAAGCTACCCCTATAATTTCAATGGTTCTTTTTTTTTTAAACAACCTTATTGAGATAATTCACACACCTTACAATTCACCCACCTAAGTGTAGTAATTCAATATTTCTTGTAGTATATTCAAACTTACACAACCATCACCACAAGCAATTTTGAAACATTTTCCTCACCCCAAAAGGAAACGCCATACTTCTTAGCAGTCACTCCACCATTTCCCCCAATCTTCCCTACCCCTGGAAACTACTCTACTGTCTCTATAGATATGCCTCTTCTGGATGTTTCATACAAATGGAATCATACGTATGTGTTCTTTTATGACTGCTTTCAACTGGCATTAATGTTTTCAAGGTTCATCTATATTGTAGAATGTATCAGTGCTTCCTTCCTCTTTATGGCAGGTAATCGTATATAGATACACCACATTTTATTTATCCATTCGTCAGTCAATACACATTCAATGGCTGGTTTTAGATATTATTCTCATGTCTTCTAAATCAGGACCATGAGTATGTTACCATCTTTGTTAGCAATACTCTTCTCTCTTCAGCTGTCTTTCCTTTTAGAATCTCGAACAAAAGGTTTCAAACTTATCTTTTCTCTAAGTAATTTCTAAGGAACATTCTCCAGCTTTCCCCAAGTAGGTAGATTTTCAGAATACAAATTATATACCAAAACAAATATATAAGCCAAAAAATTAAATACTATGCTTTCAGCAGAGTAAGTCAGCGAATATATTTCTAGAGGTCTAAGAGGCTTCTGCAATGGCTGGATCTTCTTCTATGATAGTTATGAAATCTATACCAATAGACTTATCTTTCACTTATTCACCAAATATTTTTTCAAGACTTCCATGTGGCATTTGATTTGGTTACCTGGTATGGGCTCAAGAAAATCAGTAACACAGATCTTTCTCTTAACTTTTTACTCAACAATAATTCCATCCTTAGGTTAGATTACTATACACAGGTGGACAGCGTAATTTCCAAGATAATTTTTTTTTGAGACTTCGTTCTTGAATTTTGAACAAGGAATCACATACCAATACTTTTTTTTCTGGGCATACATCTAACTGCAACAAACCTTGTTAATCCCTAGATGATCCTAATTACTTCAATCTATTAAAACTCCAAATTACCGTCCTTCTCATAGGCACTATTGGGGGGTAGAGAATAAAAGGATATCCCAAATTTGTCCCATGGAGTCTAACCCTTACCTGCAATAACTGTGCCTTTTCCTCTATCCTTCATTTCCTTCCGCAAAGCTTCAGATAGACTAATCTCCTCAAGCAGACTCCTGTCTCCACATCTTGGCTTACAAAAACACTCCTTAAAATACACTCTTCCTTCTCTTTATTCATCTAAGACATATCATTCCTTCAGCGTTTCTCTCAAGTGCCATGTTAAATAAAGCACCTAACCCAGTTTTGGGCATGAACTTCTAGCATGCTATAGTAGAAACAACAAGGGATTTAGAATTAGTCTTCAGTTTGAAACCAAGTCTGCAATTCACAACGTGACCACTGGGAAGTTACTTAGCCTTGCTAAGCCTGTTTCTTCCTCTGTAAACTGGGTAAAATAATTCAGACTACTGCAAATTTCTTGGAAAGATGAAAAGAAACAAACTAGAAATGCCAACCACAGTCACCAGTAGATAATATTTAATATTTGCTAACAACATTTTCTTCTCCACAAAGCCTTATTTGACCAATCTTAATGATCATTATTTGTGCATTAGGACAGAATGAATATCTACCTTGAACAAGAAGCAAAGGACAAATCTCTCTGTTCAGGCTACTAGCACTTTTTTTTTTTTTTTTAATGTTTTTATTTTTTTTTTTTTGAGACAGAGAGAGACAGAGCATGAGCAGGGAAGGGGCAGAGAGAGAGGGAGACACAGAATCTGAAGCAGGCTCCAGGCTCCAAGCTGTCAGCACAGAGCCTGACACAGGGCTCGAACTCACGGACTGTGAGATCATGACCTGAGCTGAAGTCGGACACTTAACTGACTGAGCCACCCAGGCGCCCCACTAGCACTATTAAATACAATCACCCAGAAAGTTTAATTTCATTGTACATTTCTTGTTGTCTAGTAGATTTAAGCCTATTTCAAAAACAAACTGTTCTAAACAGAATCTCCATTTATACTTTATTAAAGCAGTTAAGTCCTACCAATGAAGAACCTGCAAAGAGAAAGCCACAAAGAGAGGCTCTTCCCTTACCTTGTGGGTTATCCACTCTCTTCCATACTGATACACGTTGTTAGCCGCAGAATTGAGGGCTCTTTGGACTACCTGAGCTTCAGGAAGCCAACTAATTTAAAAGAAAAAAGAAAAAAATTAAAAACTAGCATATTTTTAGTGTACTGCACCAATAACTCTTGGAATTCAATGTATTTAAACAATCATTAACTGACAAATTATTGATCAGTTATCACACACGGCTACAAATGAATCATATGTAGGAAGCCTTGACTTCGGACCCTAATGCTTATTTCTACCATTTAAGATTCCCTTCAAGCCTTCCTTAGCTATTAGACCCACTCTCCCCCACAAACTCCCTTTCATTCTGCTCTGTCCATACATGTTATCTGCCTTATTCAGCACCAGCAGAAGTGGTTCTGGGACAATGGGATAGTCAGTACCTGGGCAGAGGTTCTCATTGTGTGGTCCATGGACCAGCAGCATCAGAACTGCTTGGAAACCTGCTAGATATGCAAATTCTTGGGCTCAATTCCAGATCTACTGAAAAAGAAACTGGGCAGGGGCCCAGCAATCTGTACCTTAACAAGCCCTAAAAATGGTTCTGATACATGCTGAAGTTTGAGAACCACTGGTCTAAGAATGTGAAAAACTCAGAAAGAAAACAAGAAAATTAAGAGGGTGAATCATTGTTTTCAATTTCGTACTCACTGGAGATCTTTTTAAGATATGAGGACCTCCTGAGCAGCGTTTCAGCTATACAGGGAGCTCCATCTACAAGCTTTACTCCTTGTGCTTTGAGAGACAGACTCCTCACTTTCCTGTTAACTACGCAGGCTGCATCATCTGCCTCAATCAAGAATATGTTACATATACTCAATGTTTCCTCAACAAGAAATATCTTCATATATTCTTTAAATTGTACCTCAAGAGACTGTTTACTAGAGATGTTGACATTCACAAATATAATAGTCCTGATCTCAACTATACATGAGTGATGCCCAAAGGCCAAGGCAAGCAGTAACTAAGTACTTTCCTGAGGCCTAAATATGACACACATCACAAAGCTGGCTTATGGGAAAGAGTCAAATAGTGAGTCAAGTCAAATCTGCAATGTTCACAACTCACAGCAGTTTTATATACTTGTAGTAATTTATATAGTAAATCAGAAGTGGTAACTTGCGCGCGTGCGTGTGTGTGTGTGTGTGTGTGAGAGAGAGAGAGAGAGAGAGAGAGAGAGAGAGAAATATGGTCATAAACAAAACCAACTGCCACTACAGCCACAAAGTAATGATGCCTAGGACAGCAATGATCTTTAATCAGAGCAAAAGGCATTCTGGATACATTAGAAAGTGGAATGTCGGGGCGCCTGGGTGGCTCGGTCAGTTAAGCATCTGACTCAGTTCAGGTCGTGATCCCAGTTTGTGGGTTCAGGCCCCACATCGGGCTCTGTGCTGACACCTCAAAGCCTGGAGCGAGCTTCGGATTCTGTGTCTCCTTCTCTTTCTGCCCCTTCCCCACTTGTGCTCAGTCTCTCAAAAATATATAAATGTTAAAATTAAAAAAAAAAGTGGAACATCAAATTAGTAATGGTTTCAACCTTTAATATTAACCAGTTCTTCCTACACTCCAAATAAAATATTTGTGAAACTTTCGGCAAATTCTCAACTATTTCTCAGCAAGTAGGACAAAACTTGCTATAACTGTATTTCTCAGCAGGTAGGACAAAAAGAGATGATTACAAATATAATAATCTAAGTATGTGAACAGGAAACTGGGATCTTTAAACACAGATGGGATTTGGGAGAAATTAAGTACCTTTTAAATTATCCTAGTATTTACAGGTTCATCAGTGCTCTGAAGGGAGCTGAATGTTTTCAATTAACTGGTAGTACATTTCATGGGGAAAATTATAACCTGTAGTGTTTTGTTTTTTTAATGTTTGTTTATTCTTGAGAGAGAGGCAGACAGAGACAGAGTGTGAGTGGGGGAGGGTCAGAGAGAGAGGGAGACACAGAATCCCAAGCAGGCTCCAGGCTCTGAGCTGTCAGCAGAGCCCAACGCAGGGCTCGAACTCACAAACTGCGAGATCATGACCCGAGCCCAAGTCGGATGCTTAACCGACTGAGCCACCCAGGTGCCCCATAACCTGTAGTGTTAAAGTAGGAAGATTGACAGAAGTATCTGAATAGATCCTTAATGACTAACAAGCATCTATAAGGCCTGATAAACTCTTGCTGGCTACTGTGAAAACACTTTGCCAACGTCATCACACAGGTGTCCTAAGAGCTCCAGATGAGAGGAGAGCTGATGTGAGGCTAAGTCAAAGGTCTTGGCTCCATCCAGACCTCCTCACAATGAGTGCCCTGTAAGAGACACAGGGCCAGAAACACCTGAGCAACTCTGGCTGAGACAAACTGGGATGTGCTTTGGTCTTATTATCAACCAGAACCAATCACTAATTCTACTACACTAAGTCAAGAGGGATCAGTCAAGAGAAACCAAGTTCCTAGAAATTGGACTGGCCTACCCTCATCTTCCTGGGGAGAGGTTAATCTCTATCACAATGTGACTTACCAAAAGAACATCCCCATTAAAAACAACTTAGCTTAGCCTGGGGGATTCCTCCCAAGTAAGGGAAGGCTAAATCACATTCAGTACCATTTTAATGCCATCTCCTGAGGAGGGTCATGAGAATCAACAGGCTTGAGACTAGTTAAGAGAAAACAAGAAATGGGCTCCAAGTGAACAAAATTGTTCAAGACAAGAATAAAGATGTGCTCCAACTTCATTTTCTATGAAGCTCTGTGAAGATGACCCTACCCTGCCTATGTCATTTATCCACCAGCTCACAAAATATACTCATGGGAAGTCGAGGTACCTACGTAGGGTATATAAAACGTGCATCAAATTGGAAGACAGCATATCTAACCAGTTCTTAACTGTATCTCCCCCACTAGATATATCTACGTGAATTTTCCACAAAGTCAACTGCCATCTTCAGGACAGGAATCCACTGAGTACTGATATTGCAAGAACCATTAGTATTCATTCATGTCTACCTCCATTAATCTGTCGCCAAAGAATCAGACTTCCCACAGATGATCAAAGCCTAAACAGCTTTTAATTCCTTCCATCTTCCTGCTTGGAATATTACACAGCAATAAAAGGGAACACGCTAATGATACCTACAATGCCTTCAATGAACTTCAACAGAATTATGAGTAGTGAACTTTGTTCACTACCAATCTTTCAATCTCACAAGGTTACATACACTATGATTTGATCTATGTATCAATCATGAAACAACAATATTATAGATACAGAGAACAGATTATTGGTTGCCAGGCGTTAGGGATATGTTAAACGAGAAGGTAGAGGGTAGATGTGGCTATAAAGGGGTGGCATGAGGAAACCGGTGGTTATGGAACAGTTCTGTTCTTGATGGTCTTAATAGCTTATAGGAAGCTACACATATGATAAAATTGTAAACACACATATACACAAATGCATGTGAAACTAGCAAAATGTCCATTTCCTAGTTTCGTTATTGTATCATAGTCATGCAAGATGTCAACATTAGAGGAGGTGGGCTGAAGAGTCCATGGACCTCCCTATGGCTTTCTTTGCCATGCCTGGTGAATCTAGAATTATTACAAAATTTAAAAATAAAAACAACCAACTTTATAAACTGCTCGATCTGGGGCTCCCCAGATTGTGTGTGCCTTCAATACAGTAGCAGCGACAGTCCTATTGCCATTGAAAACCAGTATAGAGGGGCTCTGGGCTTATTTCCATTACAGGAGAATGACCGCCGAAAGAGGAGCCCTTGAGATATTAACGCTGCCTGATTTTTAACTTCACTCCAGATCACTCTCCTGAACTAAACACCAACACAGCCAATGGTCTTCAAGATGCCTCTGCCTACCATAGGCACATCAAACATAAAAGATAAAAAAAGGAAGCAAATTCTTTTTCCCACCGTATCTGTTCCTCTACTTCCTATCTAGGTGAATCTACCATCATCAACCAACTTTCAAAGCTAGAAACAAAAGTCATGCTAGATTTCTTCCAACTATATCCAGTTGACCACCAACCAACCTCCTTAAGATCTTACTAACCCTATTCATTTCCACTACAAATGTCCACAATTAAGGACTTCATCACCTCTCATCTAGTTCTAAAAGGCTCAAATCTTATATGCTGTGCATCTTTTCTCCATAGTATAGAGGGAAAGACTGTTCTAGAATGAAATCTGATTATGCCACTTCTCTTCTTCTGTCCTTAATCAAGATAATAAACATTATCTATCACCTTCAAAAGTTTCCTTGTGCATCTATGTACTCCCTTCCTGGGGCCCACCCCTATCCACAGACACCACTGATCTTTCTGTCACTATGGATTAGTTTGCATTTCCTAGAACTTAGCATAAATGGAATCATACTGTATCAGTTGTTGGTTTTTTGGGTTTTTTTCGTTTTTTTATTTTCTGCCTGACTTCTTTCACTCAGCATACTTATTCTGAGATCTATCCATGCTGCTGCATGTACAGTTTATTGTCACTGAATGCTAAGTGAAATGCTATTCCTTTCTACGGATATACTGCAATTGGTAACTAAACAGGAATATTAAGGACAAGCACTTTGAGTGTGAAACACATTTTGCAAGATGTCCTTTTTAAGGATATTCGAATATGATTCTAAACCAAGTTCAAGAAACGTCCTTTGCAGGTTTTACATAAAGGAATAAAGTCAATTCAAAGTAGAAAAGCAAGTGAAATCTCAATTTGCAATCCTAAAACTGGCAGAGTACTTCCTACTTACATTAGTGACTACTTTGAAGGTATTAAAAAAAAAAAAAAAAAAGGCCATACAGTTTGTCAATCAAATTCAACAGGGTGACATAAAACCCTTGTCACAGAAGCCAAATTAAACAAGTTAAAAAGAGACCCTATCTAAGACAGGGGTTGGCAAATGTTATCTGTAGAAGTATTTCAGGCTTTTCGGGACATAAAATCTGTATCACGACTACTCAATTCTACCTGTTCTTGCACCCCCCCCCCCAAACAACCACAGACAACATGTAAATAAATGGGTATGGGTGTGTTCCAATAAAACAGGTGGCTAGATCTGGCCCTGAGCCACAGACTGCCTACCCTGCCTCCAAAATGACACAATGTGAAGACACTACTGACCCTGCCACTGGGGGATTATCTCCAATTCTGTAACCTTTGATTCTGCTTCCTCATCTGTGAAATGGGGATAGTCTCTTCAACCTCCTCAGTCACTGTGATAAACACCTACATACAAGTGTAGGTGAAAGGCCTTTGCAAATCATATACATGTTGTAAACTATAAATCTCAATTCAAATACAAAGTCATTTACCATAAACTGTTCCCAAAATCGTACACACTTCCCTCTCCCACCATCCCCCAATACATGCTGTCCTGATGCAAAAACAACAACATTCATCAAAGCTTTGGCAAACTCCATCTTTTCTCTTCCAATATAGATACATCAATGAAGATAAGATCGTTTTGTGCAGATACTGAACGTAGGCCATTCATTTCTATTTTGCCAAAATAATACTCTTACTTTGCCCACTCAGGGTGATTTGCTAGAGTCTCATTAATCAAATTGCTTGTGACTTCAATCATGTGCACACTCTCTTGATGCACCTGTATTATGGATAGGAGAGAAAAACAATCTCAATAAAAAATAAGCCCAATTTAACATTTATTTTTCCACACTATTATTGGAACAATGCTTTTAGAGTTAAATAATTACACATCTTAGTTTCAATTAATTTAGAAACCTGTACTGAACAGCTGTTATACATAATGTCCTATGACACTCACTATGGGAAACAAAAAGTACATAAAAGCTCCCTACCTTCAAGAAGCTAAACAACTTAAGGAAAAACAACATGTGAATAGGTACATACAAATATTTATACATATACACAAGACAAATACATAAATATATTAATTTCACACACGTGTGTGTATAGTACATATAAGCAATATCAACACTGCATGAACAGTGCTTATAGAATTATGAAACAGTGTGAGACATACAAACAAGCAAATAAAGAACTTAGCAAGGTTTCTGAGGGGGGCGGGGAGGGAAGCCAGCTGAAACTGTATCTCAGAATTTACCCTGCTCAATAACCAAAAAATGAGACAGACAAAATGGAACAAGCCAGCCTTAGAGAATATGCTCTATATTTTACTATTTTCAAATTGGGCATACCAGGCAGTTTGCCCTGGTGAGTATTCCGTGCTCACTCGACAAGAACATCATTCTGCTGTTGTCACTTCACATTGACTAACAGTGTTTTTCAAGCCTTTTCTATTTTTAACTAGTTTTCTATCTACTTATTCTCTCAGTTACCACAAGAAGAGTATTACTGAATCCCTAACCATAATCACTGGTTTGTCGATTTCTCCTTAAATCTGACTATTTTGCTTCACCTTCTATTTAGCTCTACCGTTAGGAATACACACGTTTTAAAACTGCTAAATCCTACTGCAGTGTTACCTCTTTTATCGTCATGACAAGTCCTTATTTCTTACTTACCTTCAGTAATGTTTGTTTAAACTATCTGCTCTTACATTAATATAATCACCCTACAAACCTTATGTTTACAGTGTGAGTGGTGGGTGTATCTTTTTTCATCTTTTGACTATCAAACTTTTTAGGGCTCTGAACTTAAAGGGTATCATTTACAGATACCACTTAGCTGGAGCCTGCTATTTTATATCCAGTCTGAAAATCTCTGCCATTTAATTGCTTCATATTTAATATACGCATTGATATGATTGGATTCAGTCTGCCATTTTGCGATTTGTCTTCTGTTTCATCCCTACTGGTATTCTTTTACTGCCTTCTTTTGTGTTAAGCAACATTTCTTAGTATACCATTTCAGTTCCTCTAAAATTTGTTAGTGGTTGCTATTTACCTTAAGCTTATTTATCTTAAGCTTAAGCTTACCACATCTTTAATTCATCATAGATCACCTCAAGTTAATGCTGACTTACTTCCAATAAAATATTTATAAGAACTCCATACCACTATGGTTGTATCCCAGTCTTCTCCTTTGTGCTATGGTTATACATACATAGTCCATCTAGGTGTATTATAAACTCTACAATACAGTGTTAAAACTTTTAAATAGTCCTGTTATTTGAACAAACTGAAAAAGGGTGGGGGATATAATTTTTATATATATGCACATATCTACCAAATGCTCTTCATTCCTCCCTTTGGACGTAAGTTATTTCTAGAGTCATTTCTCTTCAGTCTGAAGGAATTCCTTCAGCGTTCCTTAAAGTGCAGGTGTGCTATTAACAAATTCTCAGTTTTGGTTATCTAGAAATATTTTTATTTTGCCTGTACTTTTAAAGAATAGTTTCATTTATTATAAAATTCTTGACTGACCACTTGTTTTTTTTCCCCAAAACTGAATATATCATTCCAATGTCTTGTGGTATGCATGGTTTATTATAGGAAGTCATTGTTTTGTTGTTCTCCTGTGTGTGATACATAATTTTTCTCTTGCTTCATTAAAGATTTTTTTCTCTTTGGCTTTCGGTGACTATGATCTGTCTAGGTATGGTTTGTTTTGTATGTATTTGTTTTATATGCATTTATTCCACTCAGGGTTTGTTCAGCTTCTTGGCTATTTTAATGTTTTTCATCAAACTTGAAAAGTTTTTGACCATAATTTCTTTTTTAATTTTTTTAACGTAGGCCATAATTTCTTCAAATATTTTTTGCACTCTTTCTCCTTTCACTTTCTGGGATGTCAATTATGTATCTGTTAGAATCTTTGATATTGTCCTACAAATCTTTGAGTCTCCCCTCATCCACTATTTGACAAATATTGTGTCAGATTGGATACCTTCTATTCATCTTTTTCCAAATTCACTCATTGTTTTTTTTCTGGATCCCAAATCTGCTGTTAAGCCTATCTAGTAAATTTTTCACTAGTTATTGCTCTCTTCAGCTCTAGGATTTCTATTAGGTTCTGTTTTATAGTCTCCATTTCTCTGTTGAGCATCTGCATTTGTTTACATATTATTAACATACTTTACTTCTTTTGATATATTTATATATAGAGACATACATATATATATGCAGCTCTATTTATAATATCTGCTTTAAAATGTTTACTAAATCCAACATCTGAGCCACTTAAATATCCACTTCTTTGACTGTTTTGTTTTTTTTTTTTCCTCACCAGGTCATACTTTTCTGTTTCTTTGTGTGTCTAATAATTTTGGGTTAGAAATTAGACATTTAAAAAAATGCATTGTAGAACTCTGGATTTTGTTTTGTTTTTCTGAGAGCTGTTGTTTCTTTCAGTAAAGAATTAACTTATCTACAGTCAAACCGCAAAATCTGCCTTCCCTGTCATTGATGTCTCTGCTCAGTGTTTTCATCTTATTATTTTTTTAAAGCCTAAAGCCTTCCCCTGAACCTGCACAGCTTAGCAGTTAGCAAACGATTTTGGCAGAAATCATGCCCAGATATTTCACGATAGGAATCTTCATCCCCTGCAGCCTGAGATGTATGAGAATTGAGAAATGCAACCAAAGGCATAATCAATCTGCAAATCTCTCCAGGCTTTCAATGTTCACAGGACTCCATGGGGTCTCCCATATACCAGTCTAGGATGCATGGTTTATTAATGCTCTTATTATTAAGTTCTTCATGGCTCTCTTGCTTCCGGAATCTCCCCCCTTTAATTTACAGCTACTCTATTGTCAGCCCCAAGTCAAGTCTACCACCTCCATGGGAAAAGCTACAGGCTTCTGCTGTCCAAGCTAGGCGGGATAAGAATATCTCCAAGCAAGAAAACCACAAACTATCTGTTTTTATAGATGCAGTAACAGTTTTTCATGAGCAAATACTCCTCAAACTGTTGCATAATGGTTTTCCAATGCCCTAGTATGGTGTTTTTAATAATTTTATACTGTTTTATTCTTGCTTTCGATGGAAAGGAACTACCTGACATTGCTGCCCTGCTACTACCCCAAGATGAAACCAAAAAGGATTTTCTGACTAATTGGATGTGGATACAAAAGGGAAGTAGTCAAGGATGACTCTGGGGCTTTTCACCTAAGCAAGTGGGATGGAGTAGTCATTTACACTGAAATAGACTATGAGGAAGAGAACAGATAAGCAAGAGAAGATCTGAAATTCTGTTTTTGACATACTACATTTGAAATGGCTATTAGACATTAAAGTGGATATCCTCATGGTGTTTTAGAGAATAATCCCTTTATTGGCTGGGAGAAAAGACTAGATAACCAGTAAGTTTCCTTCAAAAACTCAGTTTGCATGAGTCCTAGACCACAAAGAAGTGGTTCGGTAATAAATGTTATCAAAGTTCAGGAAAGTAAAAGCTCACTGAAGCATAGGTTGAACAAAGAAAAAGGACTTTAAAAAAAATGAACATAATTGAGATAAGCAGGCAAGAAGACCCCATGCAAAGAAATACAAAAGGGAAAGAAGAGCAGGAGAGAGGAAAAAGGAAAACGGAAGATCATACTGGTGTAAAATTTCTCTAGGAGCTAGAATAGGAGATAAGAATATATAATGGCAGGTTCAGGCAAAATAAAAACAAAAAAGGTCTTTAAAAAGTCTATACAGTCTCTATAAGTGACTATACATGATTCATATCCAAAGAACAGGTAAGAACTACACAGAAACTGAAACAGAAATATGGAGAGCACAGGCTGTTAGGAGCAAATGGTAAGACTGAGGACACACTGAGGCTGAGAACGACTGAGAACAGGACTTCCAAGTGGTAACTGACACAGCAGGAAACAATGCAATGCTTTAGTAAAGTCTGCGTATCAGATTATCCATCGATAACGTTTACTACCATGCCTCTACAGCACTATATGAAAAAAATGTTTTTATTTTTATTTTTTTAATGTTTGTTTATTTTTGAGAGAGAGAGAGAGACAGACAGACAGAGTGTGAGCAGGGGGAGGGGAGAGAGAAAGGAAGACACAGAATCTGAAGCAGGCTCCAGGCTCTGAGCTGTCAGCACAGAGCCTGACAGGGTGCTCAAACCCACAAAGCATAAGATCATGACCTGAGCCAAAGTCAGACCCTCAACCCACTGAGCCACCCAGGTGCACATATATGAAAATTTTTCATGTCCATTATTTCACATAAACTTCACAACTCCTAGAAAAACAACATATCAAAACCTAGGATGAGAAGTTCAGTGGATTTCAGATAAAGATTAAGATACAGAATAAACATTTGTTTTAAAAGTCAGGAAGATGTATCAAATATAGAGAAAATTTTAGTCGCACTTTGGAGAATGGTTTTCTTAGATGAAAGAAGGGTGTAGACTCCCAAAATTCTTATGTCCAAATCTTAACCTCCAATATGATGGTTAAGAGATAGGGCCTTTGGGGGGCTCCTGGGGGGCTCAGTCAGTTGAGCGTCCAACTTCAGCTCAGGTCATGATCTCACAGCTTGTGAGTTCAAGTTCCATGTCGGGCTCTGTGCTAACAGCTCAGAGCCTGGAGCCTGCTTCAGATTCTGTGTCTCCCTCTCTCTCTGCCCCCAACCCTCTCACACTCTGTCTGTCTGTCTCTCTCAAAGATAAATAAACGTTAAAAAAAAAAAAAAAAAAAAAAATTAGGGGCGCCTGGGTGGCTCAGTCGGTTGTTAGCGTCCGGAGCCGCTTATTTCGGGTCACGATCTGCAGTCCGCGGAGTTCGAGCCCCGCATCAGGCTCTAGGCTGATGGCTCAGAGCCTGGAGCCTGCTTCCGATTCTGTGTCTCCCTCTCTCTCTGCCCCTCCCCCATTCATGCTCTGTCTCTCTATGTCTCAAAAATAAACGTTAAAAAAAAATTTAAAAAAAAATTAAAAGAAAACAAAAAAGATTCCATGGTAAATTAGCAGGAAGACTGATGAGACAAGAAGGGAAGGAACTAATCAAGAAATTCTGATCTAGGAAACAAAGAACTAATGAATTTAGGAGTCATGAGACCAGATCATAGTTCTCCTTTTGAAAGAAGAAGCCACTTATTCTTCAGCATCATTTTTTTCATCTGCACTTACTTCTGAGGGTTTTGATAACAAAATTTAAATGCACATAAAAAAAATAAAAGTTAGGCAAATTCATGACAAAATTACTAATGCAAAAATCTTAAATAATTTAATTGTTAAATATATTTATAAGCAAAGTAAATTTTCCATGCTGGCTTCTGCCAACTTCTTCTGCATACTACAATTATAACAATTAAGAGTTTATTAATGGCAATAGTAATTGTTATACTCTACCTTTGCAGTCAGGAGTAGGGCTAAAAGAAGGGTTCCTATCACTAATAAAAATATGATGAAAATGCTAATTATTTTGTCTAACATCTTCTCCAACCAGATGATCATCTGTACAGAAATGAAAAAGAGAATTACTTATCTTTCAAGCACAACTTAATAAAAATGCATATGTATTCAAACATTATTAAGACAAAATAGGATATTCAGCATTGCAAATCAAACTATGGCATAACGATTAAAGCAGTGAAAGCCATAAGCAACTTCAGAAAATTAACAGCATTAATTACCATTGTTATATAAAGAATTTATTATCATCATATCTAAGAAATGGCAGTCAATTTGAACATAACCTGTATTTATGTTTGAATTCTCACACAGTGGTATATTTACATTTCAAATTGTAATTTAGAATCTGGTAAATATTCTAAATGAAATTTTAAAAAAAGATCTCGGGGTACCTAGGTGGCTCAATCCATTAAGCGTCCAACTTTTGATTTTGGCCCAGGTCAAGATCTCACAATTTCAGTTCAAGCCCCCACGGAGCCTGCTTGGGATTCTCCCTCTCTCTGCTCCTCCCTCACTCACACGCTTTCTGTCTCTCTCAAAATAAACTTTGAAAAATATACATTCTAGGGGCACATGGGTGGCTCAGTTAAGCATCTGACTTGGGCTCAGGTCATGATCTCACGGTTTGTGGGTTCAAGCCCCGCGTCGGGCTCTGTGCTGACAGCTCAGAGCCTGGAGCCTACTTCAGATTCTGTGTCTCCCTTTCTCTCTGCCCCTCTCCTGCTCGTGCTCTCTTTCAAAAATAAACATTTAAAAAAAATTCTTTTAATATTCTAAAGGAAATAATGGTAATATATTAGCTGACCTCAAATCTCATGAAATTTTACTATCAATTAGCAAATAAAGATAGCTTTAGAAAAAGTATGCCTCTTATAAAACAGGTATGTCCTAAATGACACAAGATGAAAGAGAAGCAAATTAAAGTGGAAATTATATTCAAAATATTTTTCCTTTTGGGGCGCCTGTGTGGCTCAGTCAGTTAAGCATCCGACTTCACTCAGGTCACGATCTCGTGGTCTGTGAGTTCGAGCCCCGTGTCAGGCTCTGGGCTGATGGCTCAGAGCCTGGAGCCTGCTTCAGATTCTGTGTCTCCTTCTCTCTCTGCCCCTCCCTGTTCATGCTCTGTCTCTCTCTGTCTCAAAAATAAATAAAACCATTAAAAAAAATTAATAAAAAAATATTTTTCCTTTTGATGCCACTGGGGTTACAAAAACAGTAATAATAAAAATCTAATGTTAAGGTCATGATAAATATCAACTTGAGAATATTACGAGGGTGGCTGGGAGGGGAGAGTTAGGAGGTGGATGTACAATCAGGGAGGTCACAAAATGGGCTTTAATTATACAGGTAATGTTTTATCAGGCTGGAGGACAGACTCAATGTTCTCTACATCTTTTTGTATTTGAGAGACTTCATAACCAAATACTTTTTAAATCTGATATTCCGCTTGACATTTCCATTCTTTTTAAAACATAAGCTTTAGGACAAATGGACTATAAATAAAAACTAATCATTAATGTAATGGTTATTCCTTAATCAATAATTAAATTATACTCTCCCTAACTGCTACTTGACATTCAGTTTTGAATATAACTTCTCTCATCTTTCACAATCACAAATAATCCTACATCAAAAACAAATTTTTGTTTTCAGAATATATAATAGTTCTGATAGATATCTAGAATTCCTGCCATGCAAAGCTGGCATTTAACATTTCAAAAGGCCAATCATTTACATTGACGGCTGCTGAAACCACACTGGGCCCTCAACCCCTACAAGAGCTACAGCATTGAGGAGGAAGTGAGTTCTAATTTAAATCTGAATTATGCTCTCCAGTGAGTTAAACACTCAAGAGCAAAGAATGGTAGTTAAAAACAAAACATGACTTCTAAAACATCTGTTTTCCATTCCATGCAATAAGCTTGCATCCCTTTATCTTCCATGACGGATACTGTCACTAAGAAATCAATGCTGCAGTGAACTCAAAGATAAAAAGTTCAACTTTTATCTTGACCATTACAGCTTCAAACAGCAGAGTTAATTTTCAGTGCATGCTACCAAAGCATCAAAGACAATGTAGAGATTAAAAAAGTAGTAACACATTTCTAAGATATGGAAGGTCAGATGTCATATTTGAATGTACATTCTAAAACCAATGAAACTGAAAAGTTTCACAATCAGAAACCAATTCTACACATAGTTCTTGAGACAGCTTCTGATGAAAGAGCTAGTGCTAGGATTCCTCCCTGTCGTTCCCAAGCCTGGCAGTGCATGGCACATGGTAAAAGCTCAAATATAGATTTAAAGAGCCAAGCATAAATAATTTCAGAATCAAGACCAGATTTGTATTCACAAATAACAATTTCTGAAAATAACTTCGGAGTCCCAATTTTTTTAAAAAATGTCTATTCTGAAATATGTTTTAATGTAAATGATGCTTTATTTAGAAAGTATATCTAAATTTGTATCTGGGTATTTGTAACATAAAACATGAGATATTCACAAACAAATTATGTATATCAGCATTACAAAATCAAACTTTATGTTTTTAAACCAGGGTAGAATTTTCCTATCCCAAGCCATTTACCTAAGGGTTGGAAAAAATCCACACTAAGAGTCATCTAAATGAAAATTTATATTGCAAAGATAACAGTGAAGGTTAGATGTTTCATTCAAAATTTAAAATAAATAACACCAGATAAGATGCTCAATACGTTAAGCTAAAAAAGACAGGGTGGGGGGAAAGTGTCTATTCATATTATGGCCAGTTAAAATAAGGTTAAAAAAAAACCAGGATAAAAAGGGAGAGAGGTAAAAAGAGAGACAGGGAGAGAGGAGTGGGAAAGAGAAAGTATTAAAAAGTAAAGGGAGATTAAAAAAAAA